ATATTTATGGATAGAGTTTAACTGTCTGATCGCAATGATGCAAACGGAATTCAATTCGGAGAAAGTTGGACCAAAAAGTGTACCCCGACTAGAACTAAAATTAGTCCCAATCAAAGAACGGCGTGTATAATCGAATCAAATCGCAGCCTAGCGCACTGAGCCGTCCACGAACGTGAATGATGTTTCTCTCCCTTGGCAGCTTCCTCTCCTTCCTACTATATCAGAAGGCTTCCATATACCATTTTTACACCAAATTCTTCCTTTCTTCTTCCTTTTTGTCCCTGAGAGTGTGGAGAGTGGAGTGGTGCTGTCCAGAGAGTTGGAGGTCGCCGGAGTTAGTCACAAACCTCGCCGGAAGTTTCGCCGGAAAATTTCCAAAACCTTCATTAAACTTCGAGGTAAGCCCGTAGATATATCTAGTGACTAGAATGTTCGTATAGATCGTTTATACGTTCATAAACGGTCATTTGGTTGAGTTTTATATTTGACATGTTTGAAAAACTAAGAATCTTAAACCTTGAATTTGATGTTAAAACAACGAATTAATGACTCTAAAATGATTTCTGAACACTAGAGAACATTTTTATATAATTTAATCAAAGTTTGGTGATTAAAAATGATAATGTTAAAACTGACCACAGGAAGAAAATGATGAACATTGGCCGAAAATTGATTAATTACTTACTAAAAATCGATTAGAATTTTATTCAGACTAGTGGTTCGAAGTCAGTACGATTTAATCGATTATTTATATTGTAAAAATCGATTATTATTAATTAATTGATTATTTATATTGTAAAAATCGATTATTATGAATTAATTTATTATTTAAATTATAAAAATCGATTATTATGAATTAATTGATTATTTAAATTCTAAAAATTTATTATTATGAATTAATGGATTATTTAAATTGTAAAAATCGATTTTTATGGATTAATTGGTTATTTAAATTGTAAAAATCGATTTTTATGGATTAATTGATTATTATATTGTAAAAATTGATTATTATTAATTAATTGATTATTTAAATTGTAAAAATGGATTATTATGATTTAATCGATTATTTAAATTGTAAAAAAATTGATTATTATGAATTAATTGATTATTTTAAATTATTTTCCTCAATTCCAGATGAAAAAGTTCCTAAAAATATGCTCTAAAATCCTATTTTTTATAACAATTAATTATGCACAATATAAATATGATTTTGTATAATAAAAATGATGTTTTTGACATATAAAACATTGTGTGATGCATGACGGTAAGTTAGGGTGTTAAGACTCAAAACTAGACCGCTATTTGTTATCAATTGTTATGTTGATTAATGATTGTGATGAATGATTATTATGGATGATCATGAATGATGAACTAACTAATCAAAATGATTATTGATTATTGAGCCATGAGTATAATGAATATATTGATAATTATTAAACGATTTGTATTGTTAAGAATATCTAGAAGACTTTAAGATATACCCATTAGTTAATTGATGTTAAAACTATCTAGAAGACCTTTAGAATAGTTGATGGATTAGATAAAAATACATAAACGGGATTCGTAGTCCAAACTAGAGGATCACTCGTTTGGGAATGCCTGATCCAATGTTGATCATTTGCTATATTGTTGTTGCCTTAACTGACTACAGTTAAGTGTCCGAATCATTGCCTGAAACTAGTGATAGTTTAAGTGTCTGATTGCTTTAACTGACTACAGTTAAGTGTCTGAAATCAATTGCCTTAAACTAATGATAGTTTAAGTGTCTAATTAATGATTGCCTTTTAAGAATCTGGTTATAGAAATTATGATCTGGTCTTAGACTAAGAATAGCTAGGAGCATTATTATGATCTGGCCTTAGACTAATAATAGCTAAGAGCGTTGTTATGATCTGGCCTTAGACTAAGAATAGCTAAGAGCGTTGTTATGATCTGGCTTTAGATTAAGAATAATTTAAGGGCACTGTCGGAATAATATCTGAATTGAATAAATTGTGTTGATATGAACTAAACATTATCAAAACTATGAATGACTGAAATGAACATTGTGTGCATGATATCAAATGATTTGATTATGAATTTAGATTCAGTTTATATGGATGTTCGACGCATTAGATATGCTTACTCAGCTTTACCGCTGAGCGTGTAGTGTGTTTTATTTGCTACACGCAGGTACAACAAAAAGAACACTGTGATCCTGGCAGCATATGGGGCGAGATTGTCGGGATGGATGTGACAAGTTTGAAATGATTTATGATATGTCAAAATTAAATTCGCTTCCGTAATATTGTTGAATACTCCGTACTGTATATGTTATGAAAAATATTATTGTGATAAATAAAAGTGTAAAGTTTTAAATTTTTACGATTACCAAGTTAAATACTTTAGTCCGAATGGGGCTGCAGACCTGGACGGATTATGGTGACGATATTGTGCTCATCAACGACACCCACGATAGACTAAACGAGAAGTTGAAAATTTGGGGCCTTTCTTTGAAATCCAAAGGAGTCAGATTTAGTAAGACCAAGACAGAATACATGAAATATTTTTTCAGTGGTCGGGAGATAAAACCAAGAGTGGAAGTTAGGATTGTTTCTCACCCAGTGACCAAGGTAGACAAGTTTCAGTATCTTGGCTCGATCATTCAGGCATATGGGGAGTTAGACATGGATGTTGTGCATCGTGTTCGAGTGGCTTGGTGGATGCTAGCTTCAGGGGTTTTATGCAATAAAAATATTTCAACTATGAAGAAAGGTAATTCTAATGGTCTGTAATAAGACCGACTATGTTGTATGGTGTCGAGTTTTGGGTAGTTAAGAAAACCTATGTTAATCAACTGCATGTTGCGGAGATGCAGATGTTACGATTGATGCATGGGCAAACAAGGTTGGATAAGATTCCAAACAAGGTTATTCGAGGACGCGTCGACATGGCACACGTGGCAGATAAACTGCGGAAGCTAGGTTGAGGTGGTTTGGGCATGTGAGGCAGCAGGATGTTGGTGCCCCAGTGCTCAGACGCGAGAGGCTTACGTTGGTGGGTGGGAGCAAGGGGAGGGGTAGACCGAGAAAGAATGGGAAGGAGATCATTAGACAGGACTCAGGACTTTTTGTCCTTACGGAGAATATGACCTCGAATAAGAGCGTTTAGAGAGCTAGAATTTAAAGTTGTTGAGTAGGTACGTTGGGCTAGGTGATAGTTTTTTGGATTTGTTGTGTGCTTTGTATGTCTTATATGCTTGGTACTCTTAGTTTGCAATAAAGTAAATAAAGTAAAAATCATCAATAAGATAAAAGAATTTGGAATTCGAATAAAAGTAAATAATGTTCTAAAAATGAGTTATTTCATAGACAAATTTAGCATCAAAAGAGAATAAACTAGGATAGTGGAGAAACGATAATGGGCAGCAACGGTGGTTTTTGCGCAATGACAATGAGGCAATGGATGACGGCTCTTGTGTAGGAGTCAACAGTTGTCAATTGAGAGATGAAGAAAAGGGACGATGACGGATTGTGGCTGGAAATAGAAAAGACCAACCAAATTGTGAACAAAGTCAGCGTCAAAATGGAGAAGCGATGCACATGGAGGAGTTTGCACAGGGAAGAGAGATGCAAGCATTCTGGAAAATGTCATCGGAAAAAAAAAGTAAAAAACAAATTTCATATTTGAGCTTCATTTTCCGGTTGAATACTTGAATATCACCTATTTTCATTGACTTTGCTCTCAAACACCGGAAAAGAATAGGAAAAATGACTTTTATAAAGAGCATTTTAGTACAAGATGCTTTAAGGACTTGCTTCAACTAAAAAAATTGATGTGGAGCACATATGTAGCTCGAGTTGCTTCATTTTTTAACGGAGTTGCTTAGTAAATCAATTGTATCTTAATTAAAAAGTCTTTGTAAGAAACTCTCATTAAAGATGCTCCAAGTCATTTTCTTCCTACCCCATAACAAGCCCTAAGAATTTGACTTCATTTTCGTGAAATTCACTAATACCCATGCTCTAAAAAATTTCAATTTAAGTTGGGTATGACCAAACAAATAAGGATATTTTGCTTGAACCTAAATAATGCTATTGTATATTTCTCATATATAAAGAATTCGTCAATGTCTCTGATTGAGTTGATATATTATAAATTTAGATATATAATGTTATTGTTTATTTCTCATATATAAATACTTTTTCAAAACGTTGTTAAAAAAAACTCGAAATTAAAAGAAATTAGAAAGAGTTTTACAAGAGACAACATTCCCCTAACATATCAAATGTCCAAGCTTCAACCGCCACCTGAATTCTCGTTGATCCACACCCAAAGCCTATCAGTCTGCTAACCAATGGACAGACCTCATCCTCCTCGGCTGATGTTAGTGTCACACTGAATTCCTTCGACACTATCTCACGCAGGGCCCAACCGACAAAACAAAAAAAAATTGAAAGTTATTTTTTCAAACTCAAAATAGAACCTTAGTATAAAATCTTTACTAGCAAAACATGTTATGCTCAAATGAACAAGTTCACAGTCGTTTATTAGCAGTCAACAAATAAACATACAGAATATTTACTTGAGGGGGGTTCCCCAATGTCATGGGATGACCCAGGGATGCTCCGGTGCCCCGTTCGTAAAATTGACGGTTCCTACCCCCCTAACCCCCCGGTGAACCCCCCACCCTGCCCTGTCCCGAACACGCCCCCCACCCCCTTCAATTGCACCCCCCAAGTTAATTTTGACTTTGGAGTCAAATTTTGACTCCAAAGTCAAAATTTACTTGGGGGTGCAATTGAAGGGGGTGGGGGGCGTGTTCGGGTCGGAGCGGGGTTGAGGAGTTTACCAGGGGGTTAGGAGGGATAAGAACCGTCAATTTTACGAACGGGGCACCGGAGCACCCCGGGTCATCCCATGACATTGGTTCCCAATGTCATGGGAACCAAGGTGTACTTATACAAGAATTAAAATGTGTTACTCTAATACTGCGAATGATATAACCTCAAACAATATTACAGTTATACAGAGTATTATTTAATAAATCCGAAAGCTTAGATTTAAATGAACAAGAAATTCCTAATCATATAATTAAATAAGCATGGGGTATATTATAAGCTTGGTCAATGAACTATCTGTTCCTTTAAAATCCTACCAAGTTACAAAGAAAAGCCACTGGAACATATGAGTCAACAACAACAACAAAAAGTTTTAGTACAAGTATTCTTCCAAATCATTTCTGAGATGTGAATGTTGCAGTACATATCTCTGGATATCAGATGTTAGGGGAATCGACGAAGCCCGTGCTCAGATTAGAGGGAGTAAAACTGTGAGTATAAGCACTCCCGAATCGTATAATATTCTTCGGAGAGTGGGCCCTCAAGAATGATCTGTTGAGTAGCAGCAGCTGCTGCACCCTGTAAGCATTGTGTCTCAATATCAGAACCAACGAAAGTTTCATTGGAGTTCATCACATAAAATGCAAGTGCTCAAAAGTACACGAGTTTTGACATATAATTGTAAAGAAGCATCACCCTTTGGCTTGCATCTCCTACTTTTCTCAGAGTAACATATTCCCCACACCTCAAGGCTCCACCTGCAAATTCTACCTGGAAACACAGCATCAGACGTTACGGGCATCAATGCATAAAATAAGAACAATAATAATTTTAATAATAAAACAAAAGATTAAAGCTTAAGACATTAATTTACACCTGCACACCCTTGTTTGCAAGAAACTGCTTGAAATCTGACAACTTCAAGTCTCCAACAAGTACTGTTTTATGTGCTGGAGCAGGATGAGAAAGAGGGAGTAAAGATGACATGCCACTGTCTGTTTTCCCCACTTCAGCATCAACCCATGCTATTTCATAGTCTCCAAGCTGCAATTACAAACACTAAAGTAAGTGATGCGAGGGCCCAAGAGAAATATTGAAGATTGAAACAACAATAATAACTCAGATTGAGTAGGATCTAGGGATGGTGCGTGTACGCAAATTTTACCCCTACCCGAAAGTAGAGGGAAAGTTTCCATGAGACCCCCGGCTCAAGCTGAACATAAAAAATATCACAATAGATACATAAAACAAGAAAAACACACGTACAACGCAATAAAGTACCAAGCACACAGAATTAAAACTAAACTAAATTAAATAAAGTTACGAAACGAGAGTATTGCAAGCAAATAGCAAAAAGCACTAAGCATAAAATGCCTACAAAGCACACAACAACAACACCCCCTAGCCAAGGCACCTACCCAGCTACTATAATCCTATCTTTCCAAACGTTCCTATCTAAGGCCATATCCATAGTAAGGGAAAAAAGTCGTAAGTCCTGTCTTATCACCTCCTTCCAACTCTTCCTAGGTCTACCCCTCCCCCTACTTTTCCCCTACCAATGTAAGCGTCTTGCATCTCCGCACTGGAGCATCGGCATTTTGCCGTCTCACATGACCGAACCACTCAACCTAACTTCTCGAAGCTCATATTCCACTGGTGCCATGCCTAACTGATCTCGAATAACCTCGTTTGAAATTCTATACGCCTTGTATGCCCACACATCCACCGCAACATCCGCATTTCTGTTGCATGCACGTGAATCTTCTTAACCACCCAACACTCTCCCCATAGAGCATAGTTGGTCTAACTACAGCCTTGTAGAGCTTGTCTTTCATCCTGGGCAAAATCCTCTTGTCACACAACACACTCTTGAAGCCAACCTCCACCACGCTGCTCCAACACGGTGCACAACATCCTCGTCTAACTCTCCATCTGTTTAAATTACTGAGCCAAGATATCGGAACTTGTCAACCTTGGACACTAAGTGAGAGTCAATCCTCACATCCACCCTTGAATCCGTCTCCCAGCCACTGAAACGGCATTCCATGTAATCAGTCTTGGTTCTACTGAGTCAAAATCCTTTGGTCTCCAGAGGAAAAGCGCCAAAGTTCTAACTTATCGTTTAGGCCCTCGCGTGTATCATCGATAAGCACAATATCATACGCAAAAAGCATGCACCATGGGATTTCTTCTTGGAATCCCCGTGTTAAGACGTCCATCACCAAGGCAAACAAGGGCTAAGGGCAGACCCTAGTGCAACCCTACCCCTACTGAAAAAGGTTCAGAGTCGCTCTTGACGGTCTTTACCCTAGTTCCTTCCCCACCGTACATGATCGTGCGGGTGTAAGCAATCGGAATTCATCTATATTCAAGACACCTCCACAAGACCTACCTAGGCACCTTATCGTATGCCTTCTCAAGGTCAATAATTACCATATGAAGTTCCTTCTTCCTAGCCATGTACTCTTCCATCAACCTCTGCACGAGATGAATGGCTCCTTTAGTAGATCTTTTAGTAGATCTGCCAAACAGGAAACCAAATTGGTTTTCAGAAACGGACACTCTTTTCTGCAGCCTATACTCGATAACTTGCTCCTGAACCTTTATGGTGTGGCTAAGCAATTTGATGCCTCTGTAATTCTCGCAACTCAGAATGTTGCACTTACTTTTGAACAGAAGGACCAACACGCTCTCCCTCCACTTGTCCGGCATCCTAGCTGTCCGGAAGATAACATTGAAGAGTTTGGTTAACCATACCAAACCACCACATCTCGCATGCTTCCAAAACTCCACCGGCATCTTATATGGCCCCAAAGTTCTCCCACTACGCATCCCACGAAATGCTCGAGCAACCACCTCATGCCTAATGCGCCGGCAATACCCAAAGTCTTGAAGCACCTCCGACTGCCCCAACTCACCTAGCTCGAGCCTCTAGAGGCCACAAAAGTACTCCCCCCAACGCTTTGCAATCTCTGTAGTCTCAACCAACACTCTATTGTCGCTATCCTTCACGCATCTCACGTGGTCTAGATCTCGTTCCTTTCTCTCATGCGCCTTTGCTAGTCGAAAAAGTTGCTTATCACTGCCCTAAACTTCAATGTCTTTATAGAGGCATTCAAAAGATACATTCTTCGCCTTTGTAACCTCTAGCTTAGCTTCCTTACCGTGGTTATTAAATCAACAAGTCGAGTGGAGTCAGTTAAAAGGGAAATAGTGGACTAGTCATAGACTAGTCGACGAATTACAATTGATATTGAAATTTTTAATATTATATATATATATATAGAGAGAGAGAGAGAGAAAGAGAGAGAGACCAAAGATAACAATATATTATTATATGACAAGATATCATTACCAAAACAAAATTATGTTTAAAGGTAGCACATCTAGTCACATAACAAAGGGTATATAAGAAACAAAATTATGTTTCAGATGAAAAAATAAATATTAAATTAAGTTCCTAACTCAAAGTGCAAACCAATGTGCGAAAATAAAAACCTAGAATGTCATTACCCTTAAAAAACTAAAATAAGCAAAAAACATATTAAGTGAAATTCGAAAAAAGTGAAAAATTAAGAAACAAATATTAAATGAAAAATTACAAAAACCAAAGAAAAATGAAAAATAAAGAGTATAATATACTTTTATTACTTTAATAGTTTAATGAACCAAATTAAAGAAAATTAAACTAAATTAAAAGTCTACTTTAGTGATAAAGCATTAAAGACATAAAATCTAGAGACTGAATCTGCAAGATGAAGAAGAATCAATTCCAAAAAATTGATCCTGGATCGGCTCGGCTGGAAGATGATAAAGGAGATGTCGCAATTGGGAAGGGTTGAATGTCGACAAATCCTGGATTGCGATTGGGAAGGTTAAATGTCGACAATTCTGGAATCTGGGTTGCGATTGTGCTAAACCGATCGGGTAATTTTTAAAATTAAATGAAATTTGTGTCGGGTTAGGTCAAATTGGGTAGGTTTTCTTTTCTGCCTAGTCAACGCCAATACACGCCTAGGCAATGCTTTACTAACTCGGACGATTAGTCTTTCCTAGTCGCTAGGCGACCAGCAAATTCCCATCTACAAACCGCCTGGATGACTAGTCGGCGACTAGTTGTTGCCTAGGCGACAACTTGACAGCAATGTTCCTTACGGGCAATTTTATACTCCGCTCGCAAAGCTCTATCCTCCTCCGGGCAATTTTTAGTTAGTATTCTCGCTGGCTGTCAATCAAATTTAAGTTATCAACCACATCAATTTTGAAACTTTACTGCCAAAGTTTTAAAAAAAGGATAGGAAATTTCAGAATAATATAATTACTGCCAAAGTTTGATATTATTGTGTAAATCCAGAGTGGAACAGACCGCGTGCAGCTTACCTTCTTAAAAAGTACATTGCTCATTAACTGCTCTGATAGTTGGACCTATCACACCAAGGAATAGAAAGCAAATGCAAAACTTGGATCAGTATTTGCCACTTTAAAGTGATTGTCCTACCTGAAAAAGATAATACAACCTTATATGCACACAAATCTGAAGTGACATCAATCATTTCTTCAATTTTTGGAGCATAAACGTGTGTGCATACATGCTTTAGACAATGTTGTTTCAAATGCTCTGTTGCTTCAGCTGTACCGTGTACTAAAACCTGGAAATGAGAACATAATAGATGATTAAAATCAGGGAGATCAATATCTCCTCGTCATCTACTAAAAATGGCTGATACAGTCCATGAGAAAGTGGTAGGGTAATTGATTTTAAAGTGCAAATTAGGCTACACTACGTAGCAACTTATCATATTCCCACAGAAATATGAAGTTTATGTAGTTGTTTGAGAACAAGCTAATATGGGGTAATTCTATAAAATGAGGTTTTGGTTTAGCCTTTGCTCAGACCGCTCAACAAGAGGCCACTATAGATCCCGGTAGGTAATAGTAACAAACCACCCAACTCCATTAGGGTTTGGCAGTCAAGATTTACGTAGTCTTACCCCTGTAAAAACAGAGAGACTGTTTCCATTAGACTCTTAATGTGTTGCAGCATTTACTACCCAAAACTTCATTGAAAGTAAGATACAAGGAGAGTCTAAGGTGTCATTTTGATTACCCATTACTCACCTGAAGCTAAAAAGAATCATCAAAGTTGACTCTTTTAACTCCATAGAGAATGGACATCCAGTAGGTAATAACATTTTCTCTTATCTTTCCAACATTAAAAAAGTTTACGTAGTACAGAAATCACGCTTTCCATCATCTCCGATGGAGTCAAAGATTTACTATAATTTCGCTTTGGGGCACGATGGAATAAAGCAAAATTGTTCTTTAAACTGTTTGCGCTTCTTTGAATAGTGAAGTAGTAATTAGTCAATGCAACTTTTGATGCTTATCATGGGTCATCAGGAAACAGCCGCTCTATGTTTTAAACATAGGGTCAGGCTGCATTCATCCGACCCCCCCCTACCCCACAACGGGCGGGAGCCTTTGAGACACTGGGGTAATGTTGTTGTAGTACAGAAATCACAGAAATGTGCAATAATATAATGAAATGCAACAAAGCAATTCATGCTTGTCTATAATATAGAGAACATCAAATTAAAGAAATCGAAAATATAATGAAGTATCATAAAAATATCAGTTCTTTCATTTAGAAAATAAAAATTAAATAAAAGCACATCAAAACACAAGAAACTGCACATCATGAAACAGTAGCATGAAAGTGTGTACAAACAAGCTTTAATGGAGCGACATGGGCAAGAATTGATTTCATTGAGCGACCATCAGATCGGCCTTCAAAATCCATGTAAAGTAATGAGCATTTCACTGGGACCTGTGTAGGATGAAAGTACATAAAAACAATAGTGTCAAATAAAACCAAGCAATTGAATTTGTCAATCTTTGCAATATAGGAAATTTGAATGAAGTAACAGCAAACAATGTTTTTTAATTCACAAGGTGGTTCATATTAAAAAAATAAAGCAAGCCACTTTGTCAAGTTAACTGCTACAATAGAAATGTGTTAAAAGAAAACATTAACCATGCTCAATGGGAAAGCCTTTTAAAAGAGAAGTTAAAAATCGGCCTCCTCCTTTGGACAACAAGTCATAATGTCATATTATGACAATTCAAATTGGAGCACCTCGGTGCTCAGTTCGTAAAATTGGTGGTTCCTACCCCCCTAAACCTCCAGCACGGGGTTAGAGGGGTAGGAACCATCAATTTAATGATTAAGCACCTAAGGTGCTTGAATTTGAGTGGTCATAATATGACAACAAGAGTTGTTTTCAAAATAACCAAAGAGTTTAAAAGTATTTTTGAAGACTTAAATGAAGCTAAGACTTACAGTTAAACCAGAAGATACAACTTTTGATGGTGTAGTATCGAATATAAGGCTAGCAGATCCTTCATCAAGTTTTCCTTGAAGATCTCCATCAACCTAAGCAGAAAATTTTCTCAGATTCACAGATTGAATAGTACAAAAAAGGTAATCCACATAGCTTCTAATTATGAAGTATCATGTCTACTTTTCTTCAGTTTATCCGATCTTATCTTTCCTTTTTCCCCTATTATTAATAGTAATTGATAAAATTGAATACAAATCCTGATAGATATTTTATTTACTGTTGTTCCTTTTGTAGTTGTTTTATAATGTTTTCTTTTTGTGTTTTTTACTGTCCTGTCTTTTTGTAGCTCTTTTATGTTAATTTATTGCATACCCTGTTGTCTAAACCGTTTTTAACCAGACTACTCACAGTGGATTTCACCTCCTAGTGTTTTTTTATGCTTTAAAAATTTTCAAACTTTGAACTTCTAAAACTTCCCAAAATTTTCAATAGCCAAGTGTTTTCAAAGAGACATACTTACTCCTAAGATGTGAGTTCTAGGTGCATCAACATCCCATTCCAGATTCTCGTTTCTCTTGTTCTATCCCATTCCTGTTTCTCGTTTCTCTTGTTCTATTCCATTCCTGTTTCTCGTTCTCTTGTTCTATTAATCTGTATTCCGCTCGTGATCATGGGAGCTAGAAGTGCAACGAAAACAAAAACTTACAGTCATCAATGATTGCTCAATATGTTCATCCTTGTTGACATAATCATCAGGATTGATGACTTCACCAAAATCATCCCATTCGACGGGGTTATCGAAGCAGGGAAATATTGGTGCGACACTAGAAGAAGGGACAACAAACCCATCGATAAATACATCCTTGAAAGCCCCAACTTGTCTTCTGGTAACTGCAACACGATCGCCAAAAACATTAAACTAGATGAAGAATACTCTTGTTGAGCATTTCTACAACATTACCATTTGAAAATGAATTTGTGACAGTAGATGTATCAATGATCATGGGGTCATTCACGTCATGGCCACTCCCAAAAGATTCTTTTGATTCAACATTTTTAAGCATACTAGCTTTTTGAGCTTCTTCCTTTTTTATTTTATTCTGCTCCTCCTCATAAGCAGCTAGCTCTTCTCCAACCAAAGGTATTCTCTTTGACATGGTAACTTTAACTACTTTAGGAGGCGGATCCGATTGAAGCACGCGTGCAAGTGTGCCAAACTATATGGATTATCAAGATACCATACAAAGCAATCATTATTAGATTATGCAATAAATCATGGCAAGAAATATGATTTCTCACTAGTATAAAGACTAAATGCTACAGTAACAGTGTATTCTCTAAATGATCAGAAATTAGAGATAAAGTGAGTCTTGAAATTAGGGGGAATCCATGAATGAAAAAATATATGAACTGCTTTAGATGATCATGGTGACAAAGAATTACAGGTGTGTAGGTAATCATAACTCTCACGATTATCAGCGCCTTAATCCAAATTAGTAGGGGTCGGTGGTTTTTAAGTTACATTGGCAATTAAATAATTGTTTTCATGAATTTATAGCATTACCTAATTTTATATATTTAGAGCATTAACTGTTTTTATATATATTTAATTGCCAGTACAAGTATACAACAATAACAAACCTTGTAAAATCCCTCACACCGTACTTTTTGTGGGATTTTACTGGGTTTGTTGTTTGCATGAATTTATAGCAATTAAATATCTTACTCCTAATTCATTTCAAATTGCAACCTTCATAGCAAGGAAAAATGCAATGAAACTTCTAAAACCATCACCGTGCTAGGTAACTTCCACGTGGATGGAAATTATCGTGAGACGATGATGGGTTAAAATGGTTCCTACTTTCATATCTATTACATAATTGATACTACTTAAAGTCTAACAAGTAAACCGTGACAAATAAATTTTTAGTAACAATTACAGTGAGTCTTAAGGACATGTAGAGTATGGACGTTCAACATTGTCGTCAAACCCAGGCATTACCCTTTTTTGCACCTCCTCTTGAACAACTAAGATTGGCCCCCAGACTTGGGGGTTGTTGATATGGTTGTCATTGGTGGCAGTGATGGTGTTATTGTTATTACATATTTTAATGTGGTGCTAATTTTATTACTCTCTTTATCCCAAAATAAGCTCCAACTTTCTTTTTTGGATTGTCCAAAAATAAACTGTGCATTCCTTAAAGACAATATCAAATGCTTCCCATTATTTTTTTCCCTCTGCATAAAATTGAACCACACAATTTCACATCTTGGTCAGCATATCTCTGGATTAATCGGAAAAGTGTTCCTTGTTTATATCTAAAGATAAGTTATACAAAGAAAGAAGAAGGGGTTGTATATAATAAAGTCAACACTGGGGGAGTAACTGCACCAAAGCACCTGCTTTTGCTTCGTTCGTGCAAAAGAAATAAGAAATGGGTGTAATGAAGAGGTATGAAATGAGTTTCACATAGTTCAAAGAATTCAGTTGAATGAGTTAAACATTATGAATCATTACACTCATTTTGTACCTCTTGGTCAAATAAGTTGAGCACTACCGTCCACTTCTTGTTAAAGGTCTTCATGGAAACAACAACTCTACTCATGAGGTCTATGTACATCTTAATCTCCCATCCTTTGTTTGGTTTATTGATTTTAAAAACAATAACCACCTTTGTTGTTATATTGTTGTTCTTGTCATTACTCTTATATAATCATAATTTATGTAAACATGGAAAGATACAGAGAGATGAATCACAATACAAACAAAAAACAATGATAGCGAGTAAACCTAGAAAAACTTGATCTAACTTGTAAAAGCCTAAGCGTCGAAGCTCTGTTGCTCTGATATGGTGTGAGCCGTGCCTCATGGTTACACCTCAAACAACTTTTTAAATCATGCCATAAATATAATGCCGACAAAGCATACACAAGAACCATTACACATATAGATTATTTATAGACCCTATTTATAGACAGGTGAAAACAAACCTGCCCTCTTTCAGTGAATAAAACGAGATTACTTTTATCAGTGGCCCACTCAACAAATATGTCATGTGAAAATCCAGCTTCTAGACTGGCCATGGATGCTAGAACAACCTAAATACGTCATATTGTCAAATTATAAAAATAAATAAAGCACCATAAAGTAACCTAACTGTTTAATTAAAGAGACGTTCCAACCTTGGGACCTTCTGGTAACTTCTCAAAATCATTCTTGTTTACCAAAAGCGTGATATGCCTGTCAATTTATGAAATAAATGTCTAGTTAATTTTTGAAAACTAGAAAGATTGGATGTCTTCAACTAACAGAAACTGAGTAGAGAATGTGATTGCATACTATCACAAACAGTTCAAAGATGGCATAAAATGAAAAACAATGGTAGCAGATCTTGAAAAAATGATGGCATATGCTATATAAGTGTGGTACTGTAAGGAGGTAGGATGCTTTTTCTGGCTGGTTAGCATAGTTATCAAGGCGTCACCTAGGCGTCCTGGCAGTCAGCTCCTCTCGCCATGATGTATCGCCTCGCCTTATTTCGCATTCCTTGCCTAGGAGTCGCCTAGGCCTCTCCTAGGCGTCTAGGCATCGCCTTTTGAAAATCCTTTATGCCTTTTAGTCAGTGACTTTTTTCATACTCAGTATTTAGTTTGCACTAAAAGCCACATATTATGTTTTAATCATATTTTGTATTTCATATTCTTCTTTTTTTCATATAATGGTGAGTTTATATTTTTTAAGTATGTGTATATGAAATTTTGATTAGATTTAGAGACCAAATATGTTTATATTTAAATTAGTGTTACTAAATGTTGGTCCCATATTGTGTTCTAATCATATTTTGTATTTCATATTATGGTGAGTTTATATTTTTTTAAGTATGTGTATATGAAATTTTGATTAGGTTTAGAGAACAAGTATGTCTATATTTAAATTAGTGTTACTAATGTATACCAATCCTAATTTCTTATGTATTGCCGCCTAGGTGACAATTAGGCAACTGGGCGTCATGACGGTTCACCAGCGCCGCGTCTCACCTTGGCGGCGTGATAACTATGTTCGTTAGTATTTAACAATTGCAACACATATTTTTAAAGGTTCACCACAGAATTATTTTACCCAGATGGTACATTGATATCCATGGTGCATGCCACTAAACCTAAGTTTAATAAATTTTAATACCAGAGTATCTTTTGAAACAAATGGTTAAATGGGTGAAAGAAACTGATCTTACTTCAAGCGAAAAGCATTATCCCGTCTATCCTCAAATGACTTGGCAATTGAATCGCCCATCCACTCAAGGAAGCTTTTGACAAAATCAATTGTACTTGATGCAACATATGTTAGGAAAAAAACAGGATAGCTCAAGCCCTTATGATGCCAATGCTGAAAATTTTCACAGCAAAACAAAACAAGTCACTCAAATTAGTTGGTGACAAAATGCAATGACTTCACTGTCATACCAATTTCCAACTCACCTGTTCAAGCAATAAAATCAGTTCCAATACTCTACCAGCAGTATCTACGGGTAGTAATACTTTTCCATTGGCTTTTAAAGTTTTCTCAATAGTGTCTGCATTAAATGAGAAAACAAGCTTGGAAAAGTAATCACAAAACTAGAACCTTTATCAAAGTCAAGAAAGTCCAAAGATCTAGTGACCCTTTCTAGAAATGGTAATGGGTTTTAAATTTGGGCATGCAAGAATATGTTTAAATCTGTTTTGCTAAAGCAAAGTCTACGTATGTCCACCTACTGAAAGTCTGAAACTAACAACGTGCAAATTACTCCTAGGGAAAAGTTTTACCTAGGAATTCTTGATCTCTCTTGCGTCTTGAAGGTTGATTGCTCAAAGCATTATAGGCATCAGTGATCAGGACAGCAGGGCGAACAAAAGATTCTAAAACAGTTCCGTTTAAATGTCTGGTAGAAGCAAGGGAAATCAGTGTCATTCTAACTTTTACTGTAACTATAAAACAAAAATTATAATATGTGACCTTTCTTTGCCATGATTGAAGTCAACAGCATATATAACATCTTCCCCATCTTTTGTTATCTTCCAAATTGTACCGCCCAGCAGATGACCAGCTACATGTGGAGCAATGACAACTCCTTCACCTTTTCCTGACATTGAGATAAACATTTACAACCAGAGATAACAAGAAGATACATGTTGTGCGGTTGTTTTCTGCTTTCTCCTTGCTTGGGTTTCTACAAATAAAAAACCACCCTAACCTCCATCTCTCTCTCTTTTTTTGTTATGAACTTATGATTTTTTTTATTCTTCATAAGCCCAAAAGTGATACTATATTCTCCTACCATCCCTCCCATTCGTGGGATTTGACTGGCTTGTTTGTTGTTGTTGTTGTATCTCCCACACTCTCATCCTTTTTTTAGCGATACATCTGAGAAGATAGGAACTTCATATTCATTCCTTTTTTGTGGGATTTGAGGATGAAACTTCTGATATAGGTTTATAGGCTTCACACTTGATAGGTCCTGAAACATATTTTTGGACTACCCTAACGGTGATGACATATGACGACAACAGTATCAGCAAGGCATCGGGTCCATATACACTCCGCTAGAAGGGCAGGAAAAGATTTGAGTAGATAAATTAAAAGCAACAACAACCAAGAGTAGGGTCTAGGGAGGGTGTGTGTAGGCAGACCTTACCCCTACTCGAAAGTAGAGAGGTTGATTCAAAAGAGACCCCTGGTTCAGCGTCGAAAGTTGCATTGATTGACCCTACTTCATTAATTGAGTCGCAAACAGCTTAGAGATCCATTTTTCTTTATTCCATCACACCCCAAAGCCAAAAAATAGTGAATAAAACAAATAAAACAAAACAACTACCTGACATATGATGGAAATTAGATATACGAAAAGCATTTAAGAAAAATTTCACAAATAAAACAAAACATCTACCTGACATATGATAGTTCTGAGAGTATGTTAATCTGGTAACATTTTGGAATGCATGGTCAATATCATCCAGAGTAAACAAATTGAAATCTGACACTTGCTGCAAAAGGAATAAATCTACAATCAATGTCAACAAGTGCAACCTGTATAAAATACAACCCAATTGTTAATAAAATCTTCAAAAATAATTTACCTTCCTCGATAGATATTGATCATACATGGTTAGTAATCCTAATCTATAAACAGGTTCGGTTGCAAACACAGGTGCAGCTAATCCAAGCTGCTTCATGGCATAGGGAAGGGCACCGAGATGAAGCGTGTCTGGGTGTGAGAGCAACACAGCATCCACAGTTGATGCTACCCTGAAAAGAAGTACAAGATCCTTGAGCAGAAAATACTACTAGTGACATGGTAGCATTTATATATGACAAACTGTTGTTACTAACATGGTTTATTGGACTAAACAGTAGATTACATTATGTTAGAACACAAATTAGAATCAAAATATATAAGAAAATTGATGAAATTTGAAGCTTGAAAATGGAAATCAAAATTTCCCATTTACTCTCATAATTGTTGTTACCTAACTATGCAATTACCCGAGCATATAGTGCCCCAGAGTAACTGAAATGCCATTACAGGGGTACAATCAATTCCCAGCTGTTTACTGTAGTAAAATGATAATACGAGAACCCATAAATTCTACGCTCTACGTCCCTATTTTGATTACAAATTGGGAATTACAACAGAAAATCTCTCGTCTTTTGAAATCATTTTATTTACAAATTGCTAGAAATAAAAATGACATTAAAAAATTGAGTCAAAAGTTCTACAAAATGAGAGATGATAAGAATATTTTATTTTATCAATAAAATAAAATAAAATTGAGTCGAAAACACGCAATAAGAGTGTGGTAGAGAGACCTGGAGAGAGTATGAACTATATCAATAAGAGTGTGGTAGAGAGACCTGGAGAGAGGTTGAAGAATGGAGGGATCGAAGTGGTCATTCCAACCACAATCAATAAGAAAATTAAAGCCGTCAACGGAGACAAGGTATGAGAGAGGGTTTTCATTGTACACTCCGCACAATGGCTTCACCTGCACCGATGTTCCCATTGATGTATCTCTCTTCTCTTTCGAAGTAACTTTGAGGAATTAGTGTGATGCTAGCAGGGGTAGGGTTTACTGAAACAGACCGGCGTGTTTCCTTCAGTGACGCCGCGGATCGGCGATGGCGGGAGACCTTTTAGAAACCCGTCACAAGCTTCTAACACCGGAATTTCCGGTAGCTCCCCGGCACTACACGAACTTACTTTGGTAGAAGCTCCCCTGCACAGCCGCCGCCAAAACCTAAGCCAGCACTTTGCGCATTCAAACGTCAACTTATCCACGTTAAATTCTCTCCCTACCAAATTTTAACCACACTATTAAGTATTTCCTCCCTCCTAAAATCATATTCCAATTTGTGTTTACTAAATTTGATTGATTTTATTTTTAATTTAATTTATTTGATTGTAGGTATAAAATTAAAAAATAAAATTTATATATTTAAAAACTACATCAAAAGTTCTACAAAACAAGAGGTGACTAGATTATATTATTTTATCAAATAACTAACAAAAATAGGTAAAGAAAGTGATTTAAGTTAAACCGTGTGAATAGTAACTGAAAAGATAGTTTTAGGACGAGGGAATTATTAACTATTAATAGCATGTTCTTTTACCACTAGAAAAAAAGTAAGATATTGGAAGGAACTGCAGAAAACTGTAAAAACTCGAAGTAACTGAAAGAATTTTGAATAAACTTTAAAAAAAACTTCAAGAAATTGAAAAACTAAAAAAACTTTTAAAAATTTTATTTTAGTGTATTTTTATATTATTCTCATTCCAATTCTTGTTATTATAAATTATTATTATTATTATCATCATCGTCGTCGTCGTTGTCATCATCATCGTCATGTTATCTTAATTAATGCATTTAAGATAAGAAAGCATAGTTATTTCTCATACAAAAAAACTACGAGTAAATGACGAACATATGTAAAAAAAATTTGCAATTCCTGACAGTGTAAGTCAGACATTTTTTTCCTAACAGTGCAATACGGATTTGGCTACTCCGTTTCTACTTGAAATTTTTAAGTAAAACGGAGTAGCCTAATCCGTCTCCTTCATTTAAATGTCAAACGGAGTTGGCTACTCCGTATGATTTTTGTATTTTTGTTCGGTTATTTTGTTGGGGTCATTTCCCTGTTTGTGTAGAAAGCTCTCATCTCATTCCTTTATATGTAAACTGAAATTACACTTTCCCCAAAAATACCAAACGGATTTGCCTAATCCGTATTGATTCGTATTATTTAACCAAACGGATTAGCCTAGTCTGTTTCACTTATTTAATTACGAAACGGATTAGGCTAATCCGTTTCAATATATAATTTTTTTTTTGGTAATTTTCTTTAAAAACGTCCTTGTTGCTTTGTTCCTATTCTTTTTTTCCCTTTAAATTTTTTTTAGTTATTTTATCTCCTTTTTTATAAACAAAAAATTAAATCCACTTTTATAAACCTTTTTTTTATTTTTCAAACTTTATTTTATTAAAATAGTGTATTTTAAAAAATCTTAATAACTGAATTAAAACAATTTATTTCTATTACTTTTAAATTACTTATAAGAAACAAAATTAATTACAAAATAAAGAAGAAACGTACATAAAGAAGATGTAAATAAGACAAAACACAATAATTTTATTGCTAAAGTACATATAACAATTTATTATTAAAAAGTAGAAGCCAAAACACAATCCATGATTAACTTATTTGTAAAATTTAATAATACATAAACTCAGACATAATTGAAATTCATGACAAAACTATTCCTGGTTACGATGTCTCCGTGGTCGATAGTCCATGTTATTCGGATAGCGGGTTCTCGTACGTCGGCCTGTTCGTGTGGTCTGTCGTGGTGTTGGCCTCAGGATCTCATACTCTGGAGTAGGCCATTGAGACTCATCCGGTAGCGGCATTATGATTCCAGAGTAAGCATTGATGTAGGACTGAATTGAAAAAATATTTGGAATCAAATGATCCACGGTGACATTACAAAAATGACAAACTGCGTGGACATGATTGCACGGGAGGTGAAATGTTACCCATTGACCACAGCTACATGTTCGTGCATTTAAGTTCACCGTAAATGTCTCCCGTTGAGCAATGTAGGACGACCCATCCACCACCACAGAGTATATCCCTTGTTGTGCGTGGTGCTGCACAACACGACAATACAGTCTATTTTCTTCATTTTTCCTAATATGTTTCCACACATTCATAGGAAAATTGTACCCGGATTGCTGCCATACATACCCACTTGTTCGCCTCTCATCGAAAAGTTTGACCAACTTATCATAGGTGAACATCACAATTGCATATACTGGCAAACAACGACATCCTTTAAGGACATGATTGAAACTTTCTGAGGAATTTGTTGTCATTACACCATAACGTGACCCACCTTCATCATGTGACAAAGTCCACTTGTGTTCTGGAATGGCATTAAGCCAGTTGTAGGCTTCTTGATTTTTGGATGCTATTTGGAGTAGCAACTGGTCAAACTCACTTCTATTCGGGGCTTTACCAGCTTTGTACATCAAGGTCCGCAACTTCTTACTTCGGAACTTATTCCAGAAATTGCTGCGTAGGTGGCGTAGACAATATCTTCTAGTCACTCGACCTCCACCTAACTCTGGGACATTTTCAAATGCATGCTCAATCCCACTGTGCCTATCAGATATTATGCATACACGACGATGTGGCGGAACGACATGACGCATGACATTCGTCAAGAACCATTTCCAACTTCGTCCATCTTCAGCATCAACAATGGAAAAAGCAAGGGGAAAAATTTCACCATTTCCCGTCATTGCCATGGCAAGTAATAAACATCCTTTATACTTGCCGTATAAGTGAGTTCCATCTACTGAAATAACAGGAAGACAATAATGAAATCCATCTATGGATGCCCTAAAGGACCAGAATACATACTTGAACTGAAAAGAAGTTGGTGAATCAGTTGCCATTGTTTGTAAATCAACAACAGTTCCATGGTTTGACCCCATAATTGCACTGAGCAAGGGAGCCAACTTATTGTACGACCTTTCCCAGCTACCATACAATCGTTGGATGGCTAATAACCGTGCACACCATGCCTTCTTGTAAGACACGGAGATCTGGAACAACTTATAAATATCCATGATAATGAGTTTGACTTTATAGTCAGCATCTTCTTGAATTTTTGGACCAATCAGGGTACTTATGAGTTCACTTGTCAACAATTTGTCGTCCTTTGCTCTTGTGTAATCGGGTCTGCATTGGTGGTATCCCTGGTATTGCTTTATTGTCCAAAAACTTGTCCCTGCACTCTCTGCGGCTTGGATGAACCAAGTACATTGGGGGTGTATACACAATTAGCTCTCCAATAACGACTCCTTTTCGCAACTGTGCGAAAGTGTCTATGCTCTGCAATGTTGCGTAATGTTGTGAAAGTGTCGTGCTGGAGAGATATTGTCCAAACTCGTCCGTGAGTTGACTTTCCTGAGTAAACACATAATCTCCATCAAACCTCACCGGTGACGTACGATACGTGCGTTGTGTAGGATCTGGAATGTCGAATCGCGGACTATATGAAGTGGATGGCTCAACGATGAAAGCGGGTGTGTGGGTATCGCTCTCAATATAGTCATTGTCAGTGGCATCCTCGTCAGTGGCATAACTCTAAATATTATCATAAATAGATAAAAATATATATAAATTAACTAAAAAAAATAAAAAAATACCTCCATGAAACGGATTAGCCTAATCCTTTACAATTTTATAAAACAAAAATCTAAATATTATCATAAATAAATAAAAATATATATAAATTAACTAAAAAATAAAAAATACCTCCATGAAACGGATTAGCCTAATCCGAGTTGTCCTGTTCGGATTTCCGGTTGCTCCGTTCGGATGGTCGGATCTCGCGGCGGTTCCCCTTCGTTCGTCGGCCGGCGCGGAGCGGTGGATGGCGAGCTCTCTCTCGTCGGTGGCGGATGTGAATGGCGGAAGGGTTGAGTGGACGACGGAAGGGGAAGGGTTGGGGTTATCCGAATAGCGAGACGGAGTAGGCTAATCCGTCTGGCTTTAATTTAATATGAAACGGATTTGCCTACTCCGTTTGGGGTTTTTTTTTAAAAAAAAGAGGAAACGCAGTACGCTAATCCGTTTGGTAAATAAATATCATGAAACGGGTTAGCCAAATCCGTGTTATTTAAAATTTTCAAACTGAAACGGATTAGCCAAATCCGTCCTGCACTGTCAGGAAAAAAAAGTCTGACTTACACTGCCAGGAATGAGTTTTTTTTGTTACATATGTTGGTAATTCTCTCTATTTTGTTGATTTCTTGTTCAATAATGTCCAATTATTGACTTTCTTGCTTTGTTGTTCAAATGGAGTTTTTGCTTTGTTGTTCCAATTTTTGTTTCAATTTTTTTTGTTCAATTTTTTTTTCTCCAATTTTTTGTTCCAATTATAATTTTCTTAATCAAATAGTTGTTGTTTGTTTCAATTTTTTTGCTTTAAACATTTCTAACTTTTTTTAAAAGTATTTTATTAAACTTTAAATGTTTATTTTGGTTATGTATGTAAATTTTAATTGTGTAACACCCTGACCCCGTAACCCGTATACAAGGACTAGCAGATAGGGTTGCTACAAAATTGGTATTCAGACACAATAATAATTTTCAAAATAATTTAAAACAATTAATTCAAAACAATATTTAAATATCCATCGGAGTTAACAAAACGGTGCGGAAGCCTTTAAGTACTTAATCAAAATACAACTTTGGGTTCTTGCCCTTAAAATATAATAATTTAAACTTAAATATTAAATAATAAACTCCAGTTAGCATCCATCTACCTCTTTGCCCTCGCTGCCTCCAGGACTGTTGTCTTATTCATCATTCATATTACCTACGTGTAGCAAATAGGAAAAAAGGGCTACACGCTCAGCATTGAAGCTAAGTGAAAACTATCTAACGTTTCGACTACGCACATAGACGAACCCACTAGCTCATAACTTCATGCAATATCATGCACACAAGTACAACATCAACAACATCATCAATGTCATATAATTCATCACTCAAGCAAAATTACCATAATTAACAAACTTATCTCATATTTCACTTCTTTATCTCTAGGCTCATAACCTATCCTTTGCTCAGTGCAATTATAGGGTCAAACCATGGAACTGTTCTTGATTTGCAAACACAGTCAACTGATTGCATTGATAAACTAAAAATGAAAAAAAATGGATTGTGTTTTGTAATTTTATGTTTACGAATAAATTGAAATATGTACTCTATCAATAAATTTATTGTATTTTTATATAATTTCTATGTAACAAAAAGAATTAATCGATTGCATTGATCAACTAAAAATTAAAAAAAAAATTAATAAAATATTTTTAAAAAAAGTTAGAAAGGTTTAAAGCAAAAAAATTGAAACAAACAACAACCATTTGATTAAGAAAATTATAATTGGAACAAAAAATCGGGAAAAAAATTTGAACAAAAAAATTAGAAATAAAAAAATTTGGAACAAAAATTGGAACCCCAAAGAAAGAAATTCCATTTGAACAACAAAGGCAACAAACGCAATAATTGGCCATTATTGAACAACAAAGCAACAAAATTTAGATAAAAAAACGGAACAAAAATTTGGAACAAAAACTCATACGGAGTACCTAACTCCGTTTGGCATTTAAATGGAAGAGACGGATTAGGCTACTCCGTTTGGGTCAATAATAAAGACTGAAACGGAGTAGCCAACTCCGGTCGGCATTATTTGGGAAATCACACATTAAAAAAGCATATAAAGGAATGAAATGCAACCAATCTACACTAATAGGGAATTCACCCTAAAACTACTTGTACAAAAAAAATTATAATTAAAGTTACATAAATATAAAAATGTTAAATATTAAAAGTTTATTGTGTTTACGTTGCATCTTAATTTATTTATGCAGTATTTATTATAAAATAATAAATTTGTAATTAAATTTTGTATATTACAAGATTTTGTTTATAATATCAGACTGTCACATAATTGTATTCAAACATATTTTCTTTTATCAGACGTGTCACATAAAAAATTTATTTTTTTACATCTTTTATGTTTTACTCTTATTTTAATCTTTTTCTCTAAACTATTTTGACTTTTCAGTTTTTTAAAAAAATTAAAAAATCAAAAAAAATAAATTTTGAAATAAACAAAAATGAGAAAAAATTATCTAATAAAGGGAAAGGTGAGGGGTTTTATATAAATTTAGATTAACAAAATATTCTATGTAACTATTTTATCCATAATTTTTTAATATAGTTAAAAATATTGATGTTTTCCTATTTTATCATTTATATTATTACATAAAAAAATTGTCTTTTCGTATTAAAAAGTTGAAGAAAAAATAATAATGAGTGTGAATCGTAAAAATAATGAAATAAACTACGATTATAAACTTAATAGTTGTAATAATAATAATCATATTAAAAATATATCATTTTTAGAATAATTGGTCAGAAATAGAAATAGTTCAAAGAAAATGAGAATACTTGGAAGAGACCGGAATAAACTGGAGAACTGAAAAAACTCGAATAGAACTGGAAGGATCTGGAATTTAAGAATTTAAGCCCCAAAAAAACATGCTCTAAATCAGTCCGATTTAAGTGATATTCAACTTTAATGTTATAGAATAACCCGAGCCATTTATGTTACTCCTCTAGGATCGTTTTTTGTAACTTTCAAGTGGGTCACCCATCTTAAGACTACTTCTGTTGCAACACGCTTAACCACAGAGTTCTGAAGTTAAAGAGACGCCAAATGCTTTTAAAACCAATTGGTGAGAGGTAAGTGGACACTTATTATTTAACCACATCTCTTTCTAGCTTCAAGACGAGGTAGATCCGTAGATTCCTATTGTAACGCCCCGAAACATACCCTAGAATTATTATTAAATAATTATTCGATTAAACAAATTTGTTTTGATTATTATTGGGCTTTGGGCTGATATGAAATATTTTTTTATATCCAATATCAAAATCTGGATAAGTCTAATCGAGATAAATCCAATATGTGGACTATTTGTGTGGTCTTGATTGGTAACCTGAGTACAGACCCAAATCAAAAATAAATAAATTAATTAATTATGATGTGAACTTTGTAATGATTTATTGAAATAAATCATGAGAATAATTGATATGAACTAAATGAGAGAACCTTTTATGAGAAAGGTCAGTTAAACCAATTTTGACTCTGTTAAAGTCAAACACCCAAAAATATGATGTCGGAAAAAGTATTACAAGTAAATATAAAAATTATATCGTTAGATAGAGTTTAACTGCCCGATCGCAACGGTGCAAACGGAATTCAATTCGGAGAAAGTTGGACCAAAAAGTGTACCCCGACTAGAACCAAAATTGGTCCCAATCAGGGACACTGTGCGAACGGCGCCTCCTTCCCCACTACGCCGATCGCAGAGTCACCATAGTTGTTTTGTTTCTCTCCTTCTCATTATATAAGAGAACCCAACCCTTCTCATTTCTACACCATTCTCTCTACTTCTTCTTCCATTGTGTTCTTGAGAGTGTAAGGAATATTGTGGTGCTGCCAATTTGGTGTGAGGTCGCCGGAGTTGAGAGTAATCATCGCCGGAAGTTTCGCCGGAAAATATCCAAAACCTTTGTTAAGCTTCGAGGTAAGCCCCTAGATATATCTAATGACTAGAATGTTCATATAGGTCGTTTCTACGTTCATAAATGGTCATTTGGTTGAGTTTTGTGTTTGACATACTTGAAGAACTAAGAATCATAAACCATGAAATTGATGTTAAAATTAAGAATTAATGATGCTAAAATGATCCATGAACCTTGGAGAACATTTTTATATACTTTAATTGAAGTTTGGTGAGTAAAAGTGACATTTCCGCAAGTTGGCTCGAGGTAGAAGACGATGGATAATCGATTATCAACTTGAAAATCGATTATTCATCGTTCTGCAGATTTTTGTAACAAAGCTGAGCAACAGTCGATTATCAGAATGTGATAATCGA